TCTTGTGTGGTCGTGGGCATCGCATTCAGGTTAAAAAGAGTACAACAGCTGAAGGGGAAAAGAACATGGTGAGCAAGCAAGCTTAGTATCAAGCTATCTCGTCCCTCTAGAGACGGCAAAGGGAATCCGAAGAAGCGAGTAAAACCGCACTTATGTACGGCAACGGCTTAGCTGTCTTATCTGGAACTATAGGGCCAAGGAAGCTAGAAAAAGTGTTATCAGTTGAGAAGGTCGCACTACAGCGATGTCTGAGCAAGGTCTCCGGCAAATTATCGAACACGTTTTTAAGTAACTTTGCAAAAAAGCTTATTCCTGTGCAGATTTATTCAAACATGGAAAGTGACAACGTTATTTCAAGAACAAGAAATGTCAACAATTTAGAGTCTTGTGAAAATGACGCTCAGCTCGTCGACGGTGCGCATACATCCTACTGAGTCGATCTGTAAGGGGAGCTCCTGAAAAAGAACTTGAATCAAAGGCGAAAACGCTCTCAGAGAAAGTGCAGCATTCATGAAAGTATGCTAAAGCTGCGGATGTTTATATCGAGCCCTGGAGAGTAGCAGAATGTGAAAAAAGATTGGATACGTATCAGTTGATCTCCAGTGCTGCAATTCTCAATTTTTTGAGGTCGCAAGATGTATGTGAGAAATGTCTAACCGTCTCCATCACGATATTTTTGGAAAAGGAAATCATTCAATTGCTGTCTTTAGCTTAGAGCGCGTTCAGACTTCGCGATCGTGCGATTGGATCGAGCGATCGGATCGCTCGACTAGGATCGCGCGATCCAAGAGCGCTATTGGGATGGGTGAAATTCAGCGGGGGGGGGGGGCGTTCATGTTTCACGGATATCGCCGAAGTCGTCGTCCAAAGAGTTTCTCTGTTTGAAATAGTCTTTTTCAGAGTTGTTCGCATCACATGTTAGTACAGCTGTTTTTAGAATAATCAAACAACATTTATTCAAATATTCTAGAGATTTGTTCCAAACATTAATGGTATAGTATGAAGTTCGTTGACGCATGTAATATGATATTTTCCGTTCTAAGGAAACTGGGTCATGGGAAAACCGGGCGAGTTCCGTTAAATCATCAGTGATGCATGTTGTTGCTGTTATCGATCGCCTCAAGGAATTGTCTTTTTCGCTTTGAAAACGCTTCATCTTTTATTGGACATGCTAGCAGATGATTGTTATAGGTTCTGGAATCTCTTGTGATACAAAACCTCTTGAACTCTGAAAAAGACTATAAACAGAGAAACTCTTTGGACGACGACTTCGGCGATATCCGTGAAACATGAACGCCCCCCCCCCCGCTGAATTTCACCCATCCCAATAGCGCTCTTGGATCGCGCGATCCTAGTCGAGCGATCCAATCGCACGATCGCGAAGTCTGAACGCGCTCTTGGCTTGTGTGCTTCACTTTACTTCGCCATAATTTGTGCTTAGAGAAATTCTGTAATAAGTATAATTTAAACTGTCTCTGAGAACCTCTACAAAGGCGTTGCTCCCAATGTACAATCGTAATGATTGTGTGGGAACGGCCTCTTGGGCCGTCAATCTGCTATTTCCGTTACTGCGTTTTGTTTTGTGCTTTCATCGGTTTGCTTTAAAAAGAAGCGCATGTGATTGACTTGAACCCAGCAAGCATACTATTTGCGTCATCATGTATGCCAGATTCCAAATAATTGCATAACTCACCAACACTTCCCCTGGACGCATCTCGTAGGCTCTCAGAATGTGGGCAAGCGCCATCTTCATCTGCAATCGGGCGACACGCATACCAATGCAATTTCTTGGGCCGTAGCCAAACGGTAGGAATGTCAGCGGGTCCTCATTGGCACGACTACGGCTAGACCACCTACAATGTGGAGCTGATTCTTAGCACAAAGCAATGCTATTGAAAGATACGTTTTTGAATAAAATACTTTTCACGTCTAGATGGCCCGAAGGTAGCTGGAACTGAATCCCCTGAGCATGTTGCCACAGTCTTGGAATTCAAGTTGGTATCTTCACAATCAGGTGGGTCAGTGCAAGAAGGGGAGGGATAAGCTATCCCACGGCTGCGCTTTCTACTTATGATAACAGGTTAGTGATCGATTCAAAAAGTAAATAGCGAGTGATTGAAAACGCTGTGGGTCGGCCCGTTCCATGCTC